CACTGGGAAACAGCTCCAGAAAACTACTGGGGTCCCACTCAAACTTTTGCTCAAATGCACTCAATGCTTTAGAGCCTGTGGTTCTAATGTGCCACTCACCAACCAAGAGCCTGAAAGAAGAAAATCTAAAACTGTAATGAAAGTTTTGCCAAATATATCATGTAAAAATCAGTGCAAGGGAGAGAAAGGAATGAGGACCAGGGTCTTCCATGGATATGTAACTGGGGCAGATGCCTTCACTGCTCTGGACTTGTTTCCTCATGGGCAAAGCAGTGGAGTCTGGTCATTCACTCAACAAACATGAACTGAGAATGGAAAATCTTGGAGACAGGGCATTGAAGGCTGACAAGATAGGAGTGTGCGTTGGCAGAAAGTTTAGCCCATTTGTGGAGAGTAAGGAGTACAGAGAGCCCAGAGGAGGGAGCCGGGCGGGCATTCTCTGTGCCTACAGTGTGAGGTAGGTAGTGCAGCTAGTTTTATCCCCACTAAATAGATGAAGCCATGGAGACTGACAAAGAAGATGGAACTGGCCCATGCCACACAACAGAACCAGGATTTGGACCTGGTGTGATGGACTCAAAGCCAGTTCTTTTTCCTCTTCACCTTTGATGGCCAATCATAAGTTTCCTTTTAGCACAACATTCTCAGAATTATGCCAAAAAACAGCCCTTGAACATCATATTGTGACAGTCCTTTTTCTTAGCAGCCGAGTAAGAAAGCCCCCTCTCTTGTGTTCAGGATTGACAACAGGGTACAGGGAAACGGGTTGGCTTCACTTGTCCAATCTGCCACCTCTTTTCAGGAGGTGGAGGCACCATGTTTCAGTGAGGAGAGCCTCATTCTCATCCAGGCTTCCTGACTTTATTCAGGTAGTATTAGCAGTGTGACTTGCCATCTGAATGACTTTACTCTGCCTACTCGTTTTAACCCCAGGAGCACTTCAAATAGAGTTAAGAATTTCTCATGGAAGATATAAAAACCCTAGGACCATTCTATCACCAAGCATAATGTCCACAACACAAGGCTAGGGGAAGTCATGTGGAGCCAGTCCCCTGCCTGAAGCCCTCCTGGGCAGGCCCATCAAGGGATATTCAGATCTCTCCTTTTACAGTTACTCGCAGGAAGGTGAAATAATTTGCCTGATGTCCCCTGGAAGGTTAGTGGAAAAGCCTGGATCAGAGTCTTGACACTTGGAAACCTGGCTGTGTCCTTGGCCTCACAGTTTAATGGAATTAATTCTGAAGGACAATCCAGACAGGGTTCTGAAATACAGTGTTGGGCACTGTACTTATAAGCATGTGTTCATCTGTTTTTGTCATAAGTGGGGACACACTCATCTATGAAAAAGGCCCCTCCTATGCTGTTAGTTGAATGAATTAAGTGAGAAAAAGGAAGCAAAGATCTTTGTAAACTGTAGAGTGGGTACATTAAGGGGTTGTTGCCAAAGCTTGTGACCCATTGTTGAAGTCCACCTTACCTGGAGCTGACTTCCATTGAACACTGTCCTTCTCCCACTGGGAGAGGAGTGTGCAGGGCTCCCTGGGGCCCAGCCCAGGAGCTGGCATATGGCAGATGCTTAACAGACAATGAGAAAGCAGAGCATGTGGTGAAATCCAATTCTCAGCTCCATGGAGATGCCAACGAGAAGGGCGCGGGAGGAACAGAGGATCAAGGGCTCGATGAGAGGGTGATGGAGGGTGAGAAGCGCTCCCCTGTGGATGGACAGGAGTTGGGCCCCTGGAGAGAAAAGGGTGGGACACTTCACCCACTTGGGGAAACATTAGGAGATAGAAATTCTTAGGAATTACTGAGGGGACACTGACAGAGTAGGCAAGTAAGCCAGCAGTGAAAGAGTAGGACAGAAAAAAGATAATCATAAAGGTAGTAAGTGCAGTACTTATACTACACAGACACTATTCAAAAATTATATATATATTCAAGCCTCACCAAACCTTCCCACAACCCTCTGAAGTGGGTTTTTTCCACTTTACAGACAAGCAAGCAAGGAGGTTAAGTAACTTGCTCAAGGTGGCAAAGCTGTGATTTGATGTCAGGCATTCTGGTTCCAGAACCTGTGCTCTTCAAGTAGGTCTAATCCTGCCTGCAAAGAGATAGGATGCTGGCACTTTTTTTTTTTTTTGTGCAATGGGAAAGAAATTTGAGCAAAGATTTTGGGCATGAGAGAGGACATTGGTGAAATAAAAATGTCTTCATAGGTGTCAGGTCTCAAACACACTGGATACCTTTTGTGAGACAGGCAATGGAAACAGAACAAGATAGAGCACCCGGCCTGACGAGCACTTGGTTCAGTGGAGATCAGGTGGTGCTGGTGCTGGCTCGCTCACTCTCCAAGGCCATCGTGTGTCTTTCTTCGGTCACTATCAGTGACATCAGATTCATAGCTTGAAACTGACAGCAGCATTTATACAATGGAAACTGGCCATTGCTACAAGTCAGGGCTTTCCCCACAGAGAGCTTGGTGGTCAAATATTGACCAGAGCAGCACTGCCTGTGAACAGCTGTAGTCCAATGATTAAAGTCTTCCTCAAGCAAAGAGTAACACACAGAGGGTGGGGACAACTTCACCTTCTTGGTGAACAGAGTATTGAAGGATGAGCAAATGGTTATCATGAAGACAGAGGGAAAACGGTACCCCCCCAGGCAGAGGAATGGAATGGCAAGGCATATTCATTCTGTGATTTCTAAGAGGAAACCATGGATATGAAGGGGCTTGCCAACCTGTGACGAGCCAAACAAAGGGGTATTTATTAAGCAAATCCCATATTGGACTTATTCAGTGAACTAATTGTGGTTGGGAAGGGTGTACCCATGTCACAACACAATTTCTTTTATTTAAAAAAAATATTTATTTATGCATAGAAGAACTAGGGTATAGGCCAAAGGGTTCTGGGGAAGGTATGTGAGAGGATTCACCAGAGACAGAGTGGGGAGTAAAACAGGCAGATTGACTGAAACACACTGCTGAGGGGAGCAGTGAGCAAGACAGGGGAGATCTGCTGCGCCATTTGTGTCAGCTCCCTGGCTGGGATAGAAGTCAGGTCATGATGGTGGTAGTGCTGAGACTTAACCTTTAGGCCACCAGTGAAGCCCCGGGAGTCCTAAATTTCCAATGTGATTCAACTGGCCTTTGACCTCAGTAACAGGGAATCTAGGCTTTGTGTAGGGACCTGGCATAAAACTGATCTAAAACACTGGAGGGCTGCCAGCTGATAAATGTTGACAAATGCTTTGAAATGCCCTGTATGTTAGAATGAATCATGGAAGTTGGTGGGAAGTAGGACCCAGGGGATAGAGGTGGTCAGACATAACTGGCTGGACAGGCACTTCCTGCCTGCAGGAGTCAGAGCTGGTCAGTAGAGCTTGTTTTGCTGTCACTTGTATGGTGGGTCCTGGGTACTATGGGAAGCCAGTGTGGCTTCCACAGGCTGATTTTTCTTTTCAGGGTTCCCCATGGCCCCTGTGTCCTAGATTAGGGTGAGCATGTCACCCAACTATCTCCACAACTCACTGCTTGGTGTCAAACTGTCTTGAAGGTTCTGAAGAAGACCAAGGTCAGTGCACTGTCTGCATAGATGCAGCTGCCAGAATCAGGATTCCAAGGGGCCTCGAAAAAGCCTGGGTCCCTCCCTTTGATAGGCCAGTTGTCACAGATGTTTTCCTCTATGTGAGGATCATGGGATCTCATTTCCCTGCCAGATGCCTCAAAGCCCTGACCCCTTAGGACACAGGCCGACACAGGCAGTCAGTGTGAAAAGACCACAATTTAGCAGAGACTGGGTGGTGTTTTGGATATGGGAGTTAAGAGATCAGTCAAAGGCCGGCCTTGGCCAGGCCCCTTCTCACAGCAGCCTGTTTTAGGAAAAATATATAAAAGAAAGCTGGAAGAGATGAACTAAGGGACAATTGCTCAATTGCTATGTTTTAGGCAACACAGCTGTTTAAAAGCAAAGCAACTGCATCCTGGCCTGCTGGGCTATTTGCGCATTGAGCTGTTTGCCATGACTACCTTTGCACAGGAGTAGGGGCCTGAAGGAGAAACAGAAGGTCACAGGCTTGCTCTTCATAAAAGGGAAAAGCTCTTCAGGGGGTTCTTTGGGAGTAGAGCCTGGGGTGGTGCCCCACTGACTTCTAAGTATGTGGGAGGCAGTTTGGTGGGAGGCCACACACAAAGTGGTCATACCTAGGTACCTCAGGTTTCCTGAAGCACCCTTTCAGACTGTCCCTCCACATGCCTGGGGCCATGCATAGGGCAGGGACAGACAATTGCATGCCTGCAATTGTCAGGACAGAGCTCTTGGCTGTGCGAAAGGCCAAATAAATTGAGCTTGGTTCTCACTCAGTGCAGTGCGGGACTCCTGACAAGCAGCACATTCCTGTTGGGGGGAGTCCACCCTTACTCCAGCTTACTCTCCCCTGGACCACTGCTGCCTGCAGTGTTCAGTGAGTTCACTGAGAGGTACTCAAAGTGGTGCACCAATGTTGACCTATTGAGTGCTGGCTGTTTGCAGGCTAGGAATTTCACATGTATCAATTAATTTAAATCACACAACACTGCGAGGTCGGGGTTGTTAATCACTGAGAAAACAAATCAGGGGGCCAGTGATGTGTTCGAGGTTACAAGGCAAGCAGTACAACTAAAATTTAAACTAGGTCAATGTGACTCTAATGTCAGTCTTACCTCTTAAAAGCAGCCACAAAATAGGGCACTCCCTGGTGGTGCAGTGGGTTAAAGCACAGCTCTATGAAGCTAGCCACAGCCATTTCAGCACAAATTCCATCCCTGGCCAGGGGAGTGACCCACAAGACACAGCAGATCTCTCTTGACCCGCCTGCTGCTCCCCTCAGCAGTGCATTTCAGTCAATCTACTTGTCCTGCTCCCCACTCTGTCTCTGGTGAATCCTCTCACCACTCCTGCACCTCTGGCCTGCACCCCAGTTCTGTATGCATAAAAAAAAAAGCAGACACAAAATAATACCAGTCACTTATGGTTTATACTTAATTCTCACATACATTATTTCATCTGATCCTCACAACAGCCCTGTGAGGTAGATCGGGTTATGAATTACTGTTATGCCCATTTCACAGATGAAGACATGGAGGTGGCTCAGTGAGGTGACTATAGAAAGTCACATAGCATATTAGTAGCTTCACAGGTCCTGTACTTTCTCTAAAGTGTAAAAAGCACCGAGGAGATGGTGAAAGACTGTTTATGGAACAGAAAGAAGGGCAGCAGTGATTGATGAGACTTCTTCCTTAGACTGTCCTGTTGTGGTCACAGCTGTCTGGTCCACACTGAGTCCTCCTGAGTGGCTTCCCTGAGTACCAATGACTTGGTGGCTTGGGAAAGCTGTCAGAGACTCCTGGGTCCCCTGAAGGGAGAGGCAGCCTTGCCCTGACCCAGTGTACAAGCTCCCTACTCAAGGTGTAGCTACGGAAAGCCTCTTCCTCAGGCCACCTCCATGGGTGCCCTGTGTCCCCAGGCTTACCCGGCTTGGTTTCAGGACCCCGGTGAGGAAGACTCTAGGACTCTCAAGGCCACATACAGTCAGGGATGATTCATAGTGTGCAGTTCTGAGGCCCGCACTGCTCATCACTCCCGGGGAAGTATTAGCTTGGAGTATCTTGCCCTGGAGCTGACCCAAAGAGGTCCATGGGATACTTAGGGCCAGGACAGTAGCACAGGGGAAGCACACTTCTTGCAGAGCAGTGTCCTGAAGGCTGGACACTTGCCCTGTGGGCAGTGTTGCAGGCTCCTTGCTGCCCACTGCCCTAGTCGCTATCCTCCAGCAGCACCTCTGCAGGGGCAGCAAATGTTTACCCTCAGAGCGTCTGCGGAGCCATGACTATAAGCATGGTGGGTGAAATGGGGTGGAGGGGGTCACAGATGAGGCACAGCTGTCACAAGATGCAGTGATTTCTAGGGAATGAAAGGGATCGAACCTTGCTGCTGAAGATAGGTCCCAAAGGGGAAACCTAGTTAATATTTTCAGGATGAGTATTTGGCCTGTCATGATTGTTTTGAAAGAGAAAATATACCTTTGGGGGAGAAGGAAGGTCTAGAACCAAGATCATAAAATGGGAGTGAGAGGACAGATTTTGCTTAATGTAAGAAAGAACTTTCTAACAGCCAACACCAGGCAACCAAGGCAAGAGCTGCCCTGGGGATAACAAATTTCCTGTCATTGAGGGAAAGAAGCAGGGATAGATGGGTGATCAGTGGGAGGTGCTGGTAGAGGCACTCAGCCCAAATGTGTCTGGGTATGCTGGGGGTGGGGGAAGAGCAATGGCCACTGAATTGTTTTCTGACCCTGAGGGTCTATAAAGTATTTGTTAAAAATGACCTTGTTCAATGTACCTCAAATTCTGAGGGTAGGACTACAAGAGCAAGGTGACAGGTATCTTTCATCGCACTTGCTCCCGATAATCAAATCTTTGCTGGGACAGCAACCCATTTCTGAAGCCAGAAATTCCTAACTGCCTCAATTTGGCCCAGTTAGGAAGGATCCCTCCCCCAGGGCTCATTTTATAAATGCCCCAGAATGAGGCACTACCTAGCAGGATAGAGAGAGACATGCAAAAACTGTTTGCTGCTCCCTTGTCCGTTCAGAGAGTCCTCTTGTGGCCTCCTTTAGGACACAGTGGCAGACTCTTGTCATAACAAACTGTCCGTCTTCAGCTCAAAATGGCAAGCAAAAAGTCGGCTCTGTTCAAAGGACACATCATGAGGGGAGTCAAGTCCTAACGGTGGACTCATCATGAGGGGAGTCAAATCCTGCTACGTGATTAATACCAATTAGTACAGTGCCCTGCCTTATACCAGCAGCCAGATATTCTCCGAGATCTTGGCTGACATGGAGCTCCTTGCAAGCCCCCACTGAGGCGGCTGCATCTCTTTACCTGTACCGTATTAATCGAATAATCTTATTGTTCATGAAATCCAGAGCATGTGGATGAGAAGAATCAATGCAGAAGCCGTCACTCAGAGCAATTTTTAGCACCTCCTCCACAAAGACCTGGAAGCTGTTGATCTGCTTGTTGGCTGGCACCACCCAGAGCCTCTTGAGATTCTGCTTGGTGTACTCCTCCTCAGGCAGGCCCTCGACGTTGGCTACCCAGTCCAGAGTCAGGTGGTTGGGGTCCTGCAAGTGGCTGGTGATGGAGGAGAGGTTGCCGTTGGAGCAGTAGAAGAGCTTGGAGCCAAGGAGCTTGAGGAACAGGCAAGAGGTGCTGAAGATGTTGGCATTGAAGACCTCCATGCTGGAGGAAGAGAGGCTGTAAATCTGGGGTGCCTCGCGCACAGTGAAGTGGACTGTCTGCACACGCTGGTTCAGGGTGATGTTGAGCATGGCGTTCTTCTCGGCCTTGGAGAGCTCCACTTCCTTCTCCTGCAGTGCCTCAATCAGTGGCTGTACCTGATAGAAGTCAGCTTCCCTGCGGAGCAGGCCCATTTCCTGGAAGTCCTCAGGCAGGTCGAGATGGGAGGTCCGCAGGAAGTTGAGGATGTAGCGGAACACTTTGCCATCACGGTCAATGAAGCAGTTGCCCTGGCTGTCCCTCTTGGTGGGCATCTTTCCACTGAACATGGCACCCAGCATGGAGTCAGGGAAGCTCGTCAGGGTTGCCAGGGAGGTTGTGTAGAGTTTCCCCCCAACGTTCAGTGTGATGGGGTCAGACATGGCAGGAGGCTGAGGTGCTGAGAAGTCCTAGAAAGGGAGGAAAGTGAGAAGTGAACATTACCCACCACGATATGCTGGGGCTGGTAGAGTAGAATACCATAGACTGGGTGGCTTGAGTAATACATATTTCTCATAGCTGGGAAGATCAAGATGTGGGCAGATTTGGTGTCTGGTAAGGGACCTCTTCTTAGTTTCAGGATGGACATCTTCTTGCTCTGTTTTCATATGGTAATTGGGAAGAGAGGTCTCTGGGTTCCTTATAAAGTCATGAATCCAACTTACAAGGGCTCCATCCTCATGACCTCATCACCTTCCAAAGTCCGCACTTTCCTAATCCCATCACATTGGGGATTAGGATTCCCTCTTAGGCATTTGAGGGGCATAAACATTCCGTCCATAATATCTGGGTGGTCATACTTCTCATCTACTGTAGATAAAGCCTACAGTCCTTGAGGTTGAAATGAGTTAATACACTTTTTAAAATATTCATTTATTTATGCATACAGAACTGGGGTACAGGCCAGAGGTGTGGGGAGTGAGAGGACTCATCAGAGACAGAGTGGGGAGCATACAGGCAGATGTACTGAAATACACTGCTGAGGGGAGCAGTGGGTAGGGCAGGAGAGGTCTGCCTGGCATATCATGTGGGTCACCTCCCTGGCCAGGGATCAAACTCATGCTGCAGTGGCTGTGATAGCTCTATAGTGCTATGCTTTAGCCCATTGCACCACCAGAGGGCCCAGAGGTGAGTTAATATTTGATGAACAAATGGATGGGTGAGAATTGCCACACTGGCCTAAGTCATTTATTTCTCATTAGGGAATTAAAAAAAAAAAAAAAAAGCCTGGGCCACACTCTCCAGATTGCTCTTCTTACCCCAGAATGTGGCCCTGGTGTTTGTATTTTTAAAACTCTCCCTTGGTGATTCTAAACGTTCAGTCAAGATGGAGAACGAGTGACCTTAGGAGAGGAAGATGTCCCTGGACTGAATGTTGTGCTATGTTTTCTGTGCTCACAGATATCTGCTTACTTAATGGCCATGCAACTTTGAACAGAGAGTAGCACCTCCATCCCCACTGTGCAGATGAGGGAAGGGTCTTGCCAGGAATCACACCCCAGCCTCTTCACATGAGAGAAAACTGCCTGAACGCATACTCATAAATGCACACAAGCCCTTAAGAACTGCCATGGCATTTATGTCTCCAAGCCTAGTGTTCCTTCTGCTCTACCCATACCGCCTCTGAATTTACTTGCAGTCATTAGTACATAATAATAACATTTCGGTCAATAACAGACTACGTTTGGTGGTGGTCCTTATATAGTCTAGGAGGCTATACATCTGGGTTTATGGAAATGTATAAACATATTTCACAACAACAGAATTGCCTAATGACATTCCTTACAAGTATTCCTGAAGTTCAGTGACACACGATTATATTTTTCTATCTCACAGATGTACAATGCATAACTATGACTAGTGCTGGTTCCATCTGTCTACCAGGCCCCTAACGGGTCACATGGCTGTCTGGCCTTCAAATGATGCTCCTTCTTGGATTCTTAGGCTCCCGTAACAACCTGCCTTGCTGTGAAGATGCTCTTGGCTCTTGGTGGCCCAACTTTTCCTGCCATGATGGCACCTGCTTCCTCTGAAATTTGCTGTGGAGTGGGTGCAAACCTAGGCCTCTGCTGCTGAGCACCCCTTCTGGAGTTCTTTAAATACCCCCCACCCTTCACTGGCATAGTGTTCAGTGTTTAGGGCTCATGACTCTCCTTCAGCCTGAAGTCTTGGATTCTAAATTCTCTTTAAAGTGCCAGAAAACAGGTGATGTACTCTTTAGCTTCCAATAGATGTTTTCCCAAAAACCAACCTGTGGGATGTGTTTAGCAATCTCCCTCTGATGCTGGGTGTCGGGGAACACAGAGAAAAATCACCCCAGTGCAGGTCTGGAGAAGAGCCAGCTGGTGGGGAAGATAGAAAGGAGGCTGTGAGGGTGCAGTGGCAAGAGTGGGGTGCCCAGGGCTGTGGGGGGAGATGGGGAGTGAATCCTGGCATGCTGATTGTCCATATGGGAAAACAGAGGTCCGAGGTGGGTCTACCTCCAAGTTACCCAGCAGGGTGGTGAGCAGCCAGAGCCTGTCCTACTGTGGGTCTGCTTTCTGAGGACAGAGTGCAGCCTCCCCTAATCCGGAGGGTGGAGGCTATGCCAGGTGTGGGCGACCACAGCTGTCTCAGCTCTCTGGGGGTGGCAATGTTCCCTGTGTGACTCTTTTCCCATCTAATTGGGGGCACTTTGATAATGCAATAGGGCATTAACCATCTGGAGTGCCCAAAGAGAAAAAAACCCATGACAAAGGTATAAAATCATCAGCAGAATCCGGAGCTGATGGGTTGCAAACCATGAGAGGTCCAACAGAGAAGGGGTCATGGGGTGCTTGATGCTTAGCTGTGTGGGGAACTGCAGCTGGGGAGAAGGCTAACAATGGCTGATACTCTTTCTAAAGTGGCCAGGCAGGACCTGGGCCCAGGAGTGGAGCTCATTCCTGAATCTTCTTTTTCTTCCCTCCTCTCTTTATTTCTAGATAGTCACTGGCATATACTAGTTCTCAGTCTTTCTTGTTGATTTAAAGCCCAGGCTCTGTGACGTGGCTAGATAGAGCCGATTTTGTGTCAGAGAAGCTGGGCTCTGCCTTTCCTCATGGTCCTGTGAGCTGCAGACCCCATGTGGCCTCTGTGCTTTAGTGCTGAGGAGCTTAGCACATTGAGGATGGGGGAGCCAGTCAGGAGCCATGGGATCTACTCAAAGGACTTGGGCGGGGGGGTATCCAGCTCCTATTTCTCTGCTTGCAAAAGCAGCAAAGCAACTACTTTTCTGCACCCCCAGCCCATCACTCCTCTGGGGAGAGCAGGTCAGTGGGAGCAGAGGCACATTAGAAGGGTGGTCTCCTGATACTCCACCCCCTTTTGGGGTGCTTTTGAGGTGTTCTCCCCGAATTCAGGAGTCACAAGAGCTCAGACCTATAAACCCTTATTCCTGGTCACTGTACTGCAAGTGTCCACCACCACAAGTCACAGGTCTTTTGGTGAAAGGCATAATGACCGGGGGAGGAACTGGTACCTTGGGGGTACTGAGTAGCTTCAATGAGTGTGATGGAACATTTGTGGTCTGGGGATGAACACACGTCACTGAGCTCCAGCTCCAGCGTATACAAGCTTCATCCCAGACGTTATATTTGGCTGTCACCTGGCACTGAAGCCTGACTCAGAGTTCTTTTCCTGCAACCCCTGTGAATTTCTCAGCCACCCACTGCCTGGAAGGCAACTCTGATGAACCTCATCCCTTCAGCTTTTCTCTACATTGTCTCTTTGAACCCATCCCTACAGCTACTCCTAGTCTCAGCCCTCATTTCCCCTCCTGCTATGTCCACATAACCCCTCTCTTCATCTGCTCCCTTTCCATTTCGTCTGCCCACTGATCTTCCTGAAGCACGAGCCCCTGCCCAAACCACCTTGCTCTTCCCTCTAAGCTTGGCCCTTGCCACACTCTGCTAGGTAATACACATACAGAAGACCGATTCAAAATGGACTAAGACTTAAATGTAAAATCTTCTTAAAACTATAAAACTTCTGTAAGAAAATCTTTGTGTACTTCGGGTTAGTCAAATATTTCTTGAATAGGGTACAAGACCATAAAAAAAAAAGATAAACTTGTCTTCACACAAACAAAAAGCTTCTATTTGAAAGATACTTGTCAAAAAAAATAAAGACAGATTGGGAGAAAATAAATTTGGAAAATAAGTCCTTTATCTGATAGAGGATTGTGAACTAGGAAATATGGAGAAATCCCTAAACTCAATCAGAAGAAACAAACAACCCAATTAAAAAATGAGAAAAAGATCTGAACAAATTTTTCACCCAGTAAGACATACAGGTGACAGTCACATGAGAACATGCTCAACATCAGTCATTGTTAGGGACATGAAAATTAAAACTTCAATTAAGTAGTACTATATGCCTATTAAAATGGCTCAAATAGAAAATCTAATAATATGAAGAGCTGTTGAACACACAAGGCCACTGGACTCATTCACTGCAGGCAAGAATGCAACACAGAACTACTGGGGGCAAAGTCTGACATCCAGTTACTACCTGGCCCAGCTTCCAGGGAAGGAAGACATGTCCAGGTAAAACCCTGTGAACCATTGTAGCAGCTTTATTCATTATTAGTTAAAATTTGGAAATAGCTGTCATGTAACTGAACAATTGGTGGTCAAGCCATACAGTGGAATATGATTCAGCCATTAAAAAAGCTTCTGAGGGAAAGAGAAAGAAAGAAAAATACCGCATGGTTTCACTCATAGCAGGAGTATAATGGACCAGGTGAGAAAATAACAAAAATAGTGAACAACCATATACCAGAGACATGTTGTGGGGGTGGAGTGGGGAATGGGATCAAAAACGGGGGGGGGGGAGGGAAATGCACGGGATTATGGTGATGGCACACAGGTGACTTGGTGATGGGAAACCCACGGGGAATATAATTGAGATGGAAAAAAAAAAGTACAAAATGATGTAAAAATAAACTTTTGTAAAAAAAAAAAAAAAAAGCTTCTGTGGGCCCTCAGGAAAAAAAAAAAAAAAAGCTTCTGAGGGCCCTGGTGGCGCAGGGTGTTAAAGCACAGCACTAAGAAGTTAAAGCTACTTGTGCAATAGCTCAATCCCTGCCTGCCCCGGAGGTGACCACATGGTGCAGCAGACCTCTCCTGACCCGCCCGCTGCTCCCCTCAGCAGTATACTTCATCAGTCAGCCTGTTCTGCTCCCCACTGTGTCTCTGGTGAATTCTCTCACTGCCCCTGCACCTCTGGCCTGTACCTCAGTTCTGTATGCACAAATAAATCTTTAAAAAAAAAGAAAGAAAGAAAGAAAAAAAGCTACTGAGAGCCCTCCCTAGTGGTGCAATAGGTTGGGACGCAGCACTGCAAGCTAGCCAGCTGATCCAGTGCAAGTTCAACCCCCAGCCCCGGGGGT